TGCGATCAGCATTGGCTTCCCAGCTGACTTAAACAAGCAAAGTGAAGCCAGGTTCACTTAATGACTGCATGATTCATTTAATAACTGCAGTGATTCAACTGTGCCAAAAAAGGTTATAAAATGGGATAAAAGTCACTTAACAACTGCTTAGCAACCAAAATTTGGGGCTCACTTGTGGTTGTAAATTGAGGACTACCCATTACATTTCTCTATTGCTGCTCACACACTTTTTTTTCCCACAACAGAGAGAATGGTACCCCATCTTGTATGAAGTATTTTTCCACCACTTTATGTATTTGCATGTTCTAAATTATAATTTTAAAAATTATTCTAAGTCTAAATCTAATCTGCTTTATTATATGGATTTTATTGACTAATTTTTATTTACTAATATTGTATATCACTTTTAGTCATGGCCATATAAATGAAATAAAGTAAACAAATAAGCTATAGGTCTCTCACTGTGGCAGAAACATATACCACAAAGGTTTTTTAAGTGTCATATTGTTTTATTCTTATCTTGTGCCCATGACAAATTAATGTGGTAATTATTGCAGTTTTAGTGTAGTGTTTTCCTTCTTGTCCCTAAATATTTTTTTGCTGTGGAACAGTGGTGGTATTCAGCTGGTTCCATCTGGCTCGGGCAAACCAGTAGTGGCGGCTGCGGGAGGCTCCACCCACCCGCCCAGACGTCATCACGTCCTGTTTTTGATGATTGTGCATGTGTGGAAGGCCCTGTGCATGTGTGGAGGGGCCGTGTGCAAGCAAACCGAGCGCGCATACTCGCGCACTCATATTTGTGAACTGGTAGTGAAGGTAAGTGAATACCACTCCTGCTGTGGAGACAATGTTTGACTGGGTGATTCATGATAAAATTAGAGATTTGAGATTTCTTTACTCATTAGCCTTTTTAGGCTCTGTATGTCTGAATGCCTTTCTGTCTCTTGTTGTACACTGCTACTATGACCATTGAAGTTTGACCTATACAGTAGATATCTGGCTTTTGCACATGCATGATACTATGAAAGTGTCTTATGTAAATGGATTTAGCATTCTTTTGTGGGAGAAAATATGTTTAAAATTAATGTTTTTCTGTGGCTGTACTTTTTACTGATTTTATTACTTGACTGTAGAATTTAAAAAATATATAAATCATATAAACTAATCAGTTTCAACTTATTTTCTTGTTATTTGTAAATTTAACCAATGTGTTATATTTAATAATTTTTATTAACACGATTGTGAAATTAGGTTGAAACGAATTTAGGTTATAATCAGTGTTACCTATGATCCTATAATTCAGGGATGTTACTTTATTTCTGCTTTTCTCAGCAGATACTAAGAGATTTTCTTAAAAAGTCTTTCTTATATCATATTTCTTCATTGCTTTAATGGATTGAAGGAATTTAGATTACTGTCATTTCATTAGTCTCTCTTAGCATTTCAGTGGAATATGCTAAGTCACAATATTAATCATACTTTCATGTAAAATCCTATACATAAAATGTTGATTTCACAGGAAATCCTTCTCTGCCAGCACCTAGCCATATGCATCCTCTGAAATTTTGCATCACTATGCTCATTCAGAGCATTTCACGTCTGTTAGATCATCTTCCAGGGAATTCTGTGATTAGCACAGGTACAGAATAGTATCAGGTCCCAATATTCTCACACTTCACCAGCTTAATTATGACCTTGGTATTCTTTCCTGTGGCTGTTAGTACTGATCTAGGTGAGTTTCCCAATCTAAATTGTAACTCTGAGGGTTTCAGACTATTAGAACTGGTCTCAGATTCACTAGTTCTTTAACCCGTCAGCACCATAAATGACACCTTTCTATCACTGCTACCATTCCAAGTCCAGGTAGCAGGCCCCAGTAGCAGTAATTGTTGTTTTTCTGTCACTTAGTTACCAATTTATCTCGGTAACTGTATTGTATTCTTGAGTATCACAGTCCCAGATAAGTCTCAGCCTCACAGGTGATAGTAACCATCATTTCCCACTTCCTCTTGTCTCAATATGGTAAATGTTCTGATTGCAGGGTGGTACTCTAGTTTAGGCCCTCTGCCTCAGCTCCTTTCAGACATCCTCCAACAATGTCAACTATAGATGTTGAAATCATTTTTGAAATGTTCAAGTAACAATTCTAAGCCACTTTTCCTATCCACCAATTCTGCAAGTCAGGAACTCTACAACAGCAGTTCCAGTGATAGCTCCAATGGCTCTGATAGAAGAATGATTGTTCTCAAGCCGTCAGCTAGTTTGTTGGGACTAGTGAGTCAGTCAACAGCCATTTGAATGATCCAATGAGCTCAGAGGCTCCAATAACATCACTGTGTGGCTAAGTAATCACCTGGTGGAATATGTACAAATAGATACAAACACATATTTCGTATGTATATACATATATAGAAATATTAGTTTTCTTGAATATTAGTATACGCTTTGATTTTTCTATTTCATTGGGAATTAAAATAAATGATTTCCTGTTTAAAGTTTCAATCTTATTATCTAATCCTTCTCTTACTTTTTAAAAATCAATTTATCCCTGCAGGATTCATCTGCCTAATTTAGCAAGATATTTATATACTGTGAAGTAATAAATATCACTTATATGTGCAGTTCCTGTCACTATCCTTCCTACTCCTCTTTTTCCACTATGATATATATCTATTTAACATGGCCAGGGGAGCAGCCATTTTAGTCCACTACAGCAAAATCATCATCATCATCCACAAAATATTAAGATCAAAACTGAATGCTGGAAACATAATTAAAGCCATTAATACATGGACAGCTCCAGTGATACACTACTCAGCTGGAATCATCAACTGGACTGTAACTGAACTGGAAAACTTGGACCAGAAAGCACGTCAAACAATCAAACTGTAGAAGAAGAAAAATGAAGTTTGAATGACTATGTGAACCAAAGTACAGAAAACTTTCTGCAGGCTGTGAAAATGGAGAACATTATTAAAACAACAGAAACAAAGACAGAATATAACAAAAAACAGCTAGATGACAGATAAAATGGATGGAAAACCTAAGTTTTGCATGGACAGCACTTGAAAAACTTTGAAGGAAAATGTGATAACAACTTGACGTGGGCATGTCTTAAGATGGAAACTATCAAGAAATGGAAGGTTTAATACTTGCTGCTCAAGAACAAGCACTACAAACCAATGCCATGAAAGCGAAGAATATACAAAAATCCACTGACAATCCAAACTGCCAACTTTGCAACGACAAAGTTGAAACTGTTTCACATTTAATATGTGAGTGCAGCAAAATCACACAAACTGATTACAAAGCTAGACATGACTAAGTTGCTAAATTAATTCACTGGTCATTATGTAAAAAGTATGATTTACCTGTATCTGAAAAGTCATGGGAACATAAGGTGGAAAAAGTTGTTGAAAATAAGAAGGTGAAGATCTTGTGAGACTGTCAAATACAGACGGATCGTCATTTGGAACATAACACGCCAGATATCACAGTTGTCGAAAACTGAAGTGTATAATTTATTGATATCACTCTACCAGGAGACGCCAGAGTCGAAGAAAAAGCACTAAAAAAAATCACGAAATATCGCAACCTGGCCATCGAAACTACACGATTATGGATGAAACATGTGACAGTGATACTCATTGTCATCGGGGTACTTGGCACCCTGTCCAAGAATTTTACAAAGTACATCAAGAAATTGCAGCTTCCTGTAATAACACCAGCGGAACTGCAAAAGACTGTGCTATTCGGAACAACATACATTTTAAGACAATACTTGGTCGATACCTAGGATGCTGGCAGCAATCTGTATAAACCATCAAAGCCAGTCAATGATATTTGTGATACATTTTTAAAGGTTCAGTTGACTGAGTTTCATGTTTAATGAATAAAAGTTTATAATATAAAGATTAGCAGGTGTATTAGAAAGTGAGGATCATATAGTGTTTAACATATTACAATCACAGAAATACAAAACTAAGTCCATCGTTAATCATGGAAACTCACAGAATTGTTTTAATTCAGTTCAACCTAGTTGTGGAGCAAATTGGAGCAGTGTTATGCATGCTGAGTTAAACTATGAAGGAGAGGTAAGACATTATTTATTACATTTTTACCTGGTCCTTATTACTTTATAAGTAATTCAAGGCAGTGAACATACATAATAAAATTTATGATCACAATTGGAGCCAGAATTTTAGTTGCTAAGTGATGTGGCTATTAACAAATCATCACACGACTGGACTTGATTTCCAACTAGTTTTTACTATAGTTGTTAAGCAAATCATTGCAATCAGTAAGTGAATCCTGTTGATTGTGCAACAGTTGTAACTTGAATAAGTTGCAAGATATTTTTTCTGATAATCACTGTTAACTCTGAACCATCATTAAATAAATGGTCGTAAATTGAAGATTACTTCTATTCTTTCTTCATCCTATTTTCCCCAACAACACCTCATCCTTTGAGGTGAATTGGACTGAGAGATAATAATTGTCCCAAAATTATCTAACTGGCTTTCATGCTTAAGGCAAGAGTAGAACTTACAGTCTCCTGGTTTCTAAATGAACATTTCTACCTAGTTAAAAGTTATATCACTATGCATTTGCTAATTATGAAAGCTATTAATGTGTTCTGAATTAGCAAGTGCTTAGCTAATTACATACATAAATCGTAAGTATGAGTTGTTTAGTAACCAGGAGTAATCATATATATGTAATTTGGCAAAATACTTGTACTTTCTGTAATTTATGAAGCTTTGGTTTTGAAGAACAGATTCCTGAAATCAGTGCTAAATATATAAATAATATATAAATATATAAATAAATTTTTAAGCATCTGTTTTGTCTATTTTAGAAATCAAGCTAAACAAACTGTTAAACACAGTAAATTCCTTTGTAAATGGTAAACAGAACTTTCAATTGTATTTTCAGGAGGAAAAGAATGATATGCATCTATTGCTTCCCCTGTAATTTTATCCTGAAAACAGTTACTCAGATTACAAGGGGGAAAATGTAGGTTTATTTACAGAAACCAATGATTTCATAAGATTGTACAGTACATTAACATATTCATTTCAGCAGAATAAGAGACATCTTGGTTGCCATCATTGTACACAATGAGAGATTATTGACATTTAGGAAGAAGGCACATCATCTTCTTAGGTGACACTGATCCCTACAGAAGTCAGAAACAAAAATTGGCTTTGTAATACAGGGACAGGATTTAGGAGAAATGATTTCAACCCCTGGGAAGTAGTTAAGGAACACAATAGTAACAATGGGCATTTTTCTACAAATGCTCCTCTCACTAATATATTTAGCCAGTTATCTGTGTATTCAACTGTATTGACATTATTTAAAAAGTCAAGTTCAATGTCTCTTCTGAATATTGTGGTTTTTAAATACAGGAAAATATATGCCAGCTGAAGAGGAAATTAGATCTGCCTAGAGCTTTGCAAATGTTTTTTTCCTCTCTAAATATTTCTGAATTTGAAGCTAGATAAACATATATATCACATTTAATACCTGTTTTTGGCCAAATCATCTAGCAGACCTACTCACAGAATTTTCAAGACACAGATAGGAAATAGATAAAAAGTCCCTTTGACTATAGTTCTTCCAAAATCTGCTGCATGCAATTCATCCCAGTTCTGGGAGTTCTCATTACAAATTCTATAGAGTGTCAATTTCATACAATTTTGCTGTTTTATTCATGCTGATATATTTCTAGGTACCCTGTACATTCTTTCCCATTAGAGCTCTTTTATCCCAATGGCCTGCATTTTGTGATAGGACTTTTATCTTTCCAGCGATATGTGTACTTACTTTCATAGATCTACTTTCATAGATCTCCTGTTGTTAGGAGAGAAAGGGGTTTAAACATCTGAACACGACTAGCTCATATAACTATGGGCTATATGAAAAGATGGTTATGGTATGCAAGTATTTCTGTTATTATTTCTGTAAAACGGTAACTACGGACTCTCATGCACATGCACAAATTTCTCCCTTTCTGTGGCGAGTTAAAAAGGGGTCCAGAAAGAAGTAGCCAAATCCACACAGACTTTCCTAAGCTTTCTGCACTCGTAGCTATTATTTATGGAATTGTGCGTGTACCGGAGAAAGAAGCCAGTTTATGGGAATCATAGGGCAAGCGAGGGCGCTTTTTTGCCTGTTGCAATTTCCCGGAGCCTGCATTGCTGGGAGTTTCTGCTTAGGGTGAGCGAGCAACTGAGTAAGCGAAGGGGAGAGGTCAGCGCCTTTCTCTCGGATTTCGGCTGCCCTTAGTGTCGGGGCAACTCCATCGGAGCACGTAGAAGGGCTGTGGCCGGGCGGAAGTGACGGCCGTTTCACCTGCTGAGCTCCGAGGGGACAGAGGAGGGCGGCGCAAGCCGGCGAGTGTCCGTTGGGAATTCGCTCAAGAGTCGCTTCTTTTCCCCTGGCCGCCGGCAACTGCTCGCTCTCTCTCTCTCTCTCTCTCTCTCTCCCCGCCATGGCATCGCTGCTGCCGCTTTTGTGGGCTGCAACGTTTCTTTGCGCAGGTAAGACTGGAGGGTCAGTGAGGAAGACTCCCCCCCCCCCCCCCCCTTTGCCCCCCCCCCCCTTTTTTTTCCCGGCACCCACAGTCGCCCAGCGTTTCTTTCGCCGAACTCTTCCCCGGGAGATGGGAAAACAAAAGGCTCCGACTTAAAGGGACTGGAGCTTGGATAGATCGCGTTGCGAAATGACTCTGTGGCTCCAGTATATTGTTGGGGCTTCTCGGGAGGGATCGGTTGTGAAAGGGCTCCGAAGCGGGGTGTGAGAGGGAGAGAAAAGAAACGCGCCTTTTTTTTTTTTTTTTTTTTGCCTACTACTGAGTCTTTTTTTCTTTTTTTAACCTCTTTAGCGGTTCTCTTTCCTAGGGTCGTTTAAAAAAACACACACCAGTATGTCGGCCTTTTTCTTTTGGTGAAATCTTACCCTGTAGGGGGGTGGGGCGAGCAGGAGGTATCAGGATTTCACTCTCTTTATGATTCACCGGAGGCATTGTTGTGAGCTCTGGACTCGCGTAATTTACTACCCTTCCCTACGCCCAGTTGCAAAGTCCTTCGCCCTCTCAAGTAGTGAACCAGGCGAAGAATTGACTTCAAGATGTAAGAGCAAAACCTGTTTTTAAGAGAGGCGCTTACAATTGCACTTATTGTTTTTTGTGTTTTTGTTTTCTTTAAAAAAAAAACACCTTTCAGAAGTTTTAACCACCCACATAATCTTGACTCCGTAAATCCGTATGATGTGAGGCAGGTGCTGCCAAAATTATTTCCAAGTAAAATCCATGTAGCTCTTGAAAAGGGCTTCCGAAACTAAATGAAGGAAACAAAAGCTTTTTAAATAACCTCTTTCTGATCAGAACGTGGCCTTATTTTGCTTCAACGCGACAAGGCTTCTCTCACTACCTTTGCAAAAGTGCGAAAAGAACATTTAAAGGGTACCAGTTGCCGCCCAATTTAGGACTCGTTCTTAGCTTTTTTGAAACTTAAGTTTCGTAGCTTTACTAAATAAAGAACGGAGGATTATTAGAAATAGATGAACCTCACCCATTTCAGACCAGCCTGTATTGAACTTAGGGCATCTAATTGACAAGTACAGGGCTGTAGAATTGCAAAGAGTATTCTTTAAAACTTACCGGTAAGTCTTTTATACCTTTAACACTGGTCACTAAAGATACCGCCGCACGGAGCTTTTATAGGGCATATTTTTACACCTATTTATATTGTAAAATGCCTTCCAGAAAAATTGTTAGAAAGAATTCAAATAACTATATAAAATACTTTTTAAACTGTCCTTAATATGTGTTTGAAATGGGTATAGCTTTTAATTATACCCATTTTGGGTATAATTAGTTTAGAAATCATGCTGCAGACTATCACTCAGATCTTTTTTTGACAAATTTACCCTTACCTGCCATTTTAGACCCACATTGGGAGGAATAAAATTAAAGTGATAACCTAAATCGAAATTAGTAAGTAACCTTATTCTAATATGTATTCTTGTACAGTAACAACTGGAAGTACAGGTAAAACAAGAAGACATTTGCTTAAATATGCTAGATCCTAAAAGTTTTATGCAGCAAGTATTAAGCTTAGGATATGCAAATATTTTGGTTATTTAGAACATATCTTCAGATGTTCTCCAAGACAACTTTTTTTAAAAATTAAATTTGTATGCCATCCAACACCCAGAAACAGACTCCACTGGTCTACAAATTTTTTTAAAAATACACACATCTTTATGAAGGATTCTTTTCATAAAGTTGAGTGATAATAGAATTTAAATCATTTAATGCTAGGAAACTGCTGTCTTCCTATAATTATTTCCTGTGTTCAATATGTAACTATCAAACTGCACACAGTTAGAATTCAATTTATACCAACACCTGTGAGGTTAAAAGCTAAAGAAACTAAAAGCTTTTCAGCACTTTTCAGCTCTTTGTTTCCTGTCCAGATATCTTATGCCACTGTTGATGTCATAGTTTTGCAACATTACTCATAGGATAAAAATTCTTTTGGGTCATCAAGCAATATTTTGTGTATATATCAATGTCTGTATATCGTGTTCACTTTAAATACAAACTACTGAAATAGGAAATTCAAACAGCTATTTCTCAGATGTTAATGAACTAAATTCCTCAGATGTTAATGAATTATGATTCACAAAAAGTATTCCAAAACAACAATTTTAAATACAAAATTTTGCCTTGTAGCAATAACTATAAAATAATTCTGAACATCCTATAAAACCTGAGCAGGCAATTTTAGCAGTGTAAACTTGGCAGAACCACATATCTGTACAGGAGATGGGTCCTGTAGAAATGATCCTGGCAATCTTCCTTTTGCTTGCCAACCAGTCGCAGAATTCTAAAGATGAAATATCTGTAAATGTTCACTTTTAAAACTTGTAATCATGCATTTACAAAGTTTTACAAAGTTTACAAAGTTTTAATAACTTCAGGCTGGTTAACAGGTACCACTTTTTAAACTCCAAGGGTTTCAAAAATATTAAAAAATAAAGATAGTCCTCAACCAACTACCACAGTTGGCCCCCTGACTTTCCATCATAAGTCATTGCGGTCATAAATTGAGTCAGACTTTATTTTAAATCAATTTTTACAATTGTCATTAAGTGAATCATGACAAATGAATCCAGTTTTCTGAACAGGTGTCTTTTTTTGTTGTAAATCAACAAAAAAGGTCACAAATTCATGATCACACGACTGGAGGATGTGCAACAGTTGTAAATGTGAGTTACTTGCCAAGTGTTCAAATTGTGATCACTAGTGATTATGACTGCTGGAGTGGACAGGAGTGACAGGTGACTAGATCACTTTTATCAAAGCCATCCTGACTTTGAACTACCTTTAAATGAACAGTTGTAAGTTAAGGACTACCTGGTTCAATTGACCTTTGGCTGCTGCATAATATTTAAATTCCAGTTACAGAAAATGGTATAATTAAAAATAAACGAAGTAAAAGAAAAAATGTAAAATTAAGCCAAATCATAGATAGGGTTAAGTGAAAAACATATCAGACATATAATGACAGAATTAAGGAATTATGTGCAGAAGGGAAGGACAGATGAAATAACCACAACATAGAAGCACTAGTATCTTTTCGGTATTTTGTGGTTTAATACTAGAAATATTGCACACCAGAACAACTAGACACAAGAACAGTTTTTTCCCGAACGCCATCACTCTGCTAAACAAATAATTCCGTCAACACTGTCGAACTATTTATTAAGTCTGCACTACTATTAATCTTCTCATCGTTCCTATCACCCATCTCCTTCCACTAATGACTGTATGACTGTAACTTTGTTGCTTGTATCCTTACAATTTATATTGACTTTCGTAATATGATTTGATCTCTTATTTGTACCCTATGACTATCATTAAATGTTGTACCTTATAATTCTTGATGAACGTATCTTTTCTTTTATGTACACAGAGCATATGCACCAAGACAAATTCCTTGTGTGTCCAATCACACTTGGCCAATAAAATTGTATTCTATTCTATTATCTTAAGTATAGGATAATGGTAAACAGATTCTTTTTCTCCTTCCATACTGATTTAATAGCTAATTCGATCACTAGTGACATCACATGAGCCAAAATAAAAATGCCAGAGAAAAGGATAACTTCCTCTCTGTCCTTTGGCAGACAGGAAGAGATTTTTTTAAAAAACAACGATCTTTCTTACTTGTCACAGAGCTATTCAGAAGGTAGAAAAAATGATTAGAAGGGAGATACGTAACATGTGGGTGAGGTACTACCATCAGAGCTACATATTATAGCATTTGCCAGAATCTCTGCACCCATTCAAATTTATGAAGCTCCTACCAACAATCGTTTAATCTCCTTTAAGAATAGTCTTGTCTCCCTATTGAAGCTACAGGGAGTTTTGGTTTATGATCACAATTGAGCCCAAAATTTCTGTTGCTAAGCAAGACAGTTAACGTGAATTTTGCCGCATTTTACAACTTTTCTTGCCACAGTTTTTAAGTGAGTGACTGCAGTTGTTAAATCATTAATATGGTTGTTAAGTGAATCTGACTTACCCATTCACTTTGCTTGTCAGAAGAATGCGGAAGGTGATCGATCACATGACACTGGGGCACTGCAACCATCATAAACGAGTCAGTTGTCAAGTGTCTGAATTTTGATCACTATGGGGATGCTGCAAAGGTGGTAAATATGAAAAATGGTCATAAGTCACTTTTTTCAGTGCCATTATAACTTCAAACAGTCATTAAGTGACCTGTTGTAAATCAAGGACTACCTGTATTGGTTGAAGCAGGGAGAAAAAATGAGAAATTTTGGCTTTGATTTTCTATTGTGTATCGTGCTATTGGGATTATTACCTCAAAAGGTATGCAATCTTGGCAGAAAATTTACCTACTGGTATTCCTGTAGTAAGGATTAATAAAATCAGTAATCTGTAAAAAAATACGTATGAAGTTTTATAGCCTCTTAATACTAGAAATTGATCATTCAATGAAATTAATGGCCAGGAGCATCAAAACAGTCATAAAATATTTGTGCATCTTCCGCTAGCACATAATTAATTTATGGAGTGTATTGGTTCAAGAGATGATCACACAAATATTTGGATAAAAATATATCACTAGCTACTAATATGCTAATAGTCACCTTATTGACGAGAGGGGTGGCATATACATTTAATAAATAATAATTTGTATTTAGGTGTAGCCACCACTATTTGAAGAGACTATATTTGTTGCTGAGGAGCAACAGAAGATGATTTTTTTAAATCTTTTGTGTGATTTTGGTTTACTCATGGGGAAAATGGAAGTGTTAGACTAGCAGAGTAAAAATTAAAACATTTTCATGCTTGATCTTGGATAAAGTGAGCATTTCTTCATTCATGAGTGGTGTGCAATTTGGAGGTCCTTGTGTACTTGCAGCTGGTGTTGTCCATCTGTAGAGTCACTTGGGCTGTTGGAAAAGAGTGTTTGCTGTGACCAGCCTATTCTGTTGACAAAACTGTAAGTCTTGACCTGTTTCATTTTGTAGTTCAACAACAAACTTGCCTGTTTTGGTTACCTTTTGACTTCCTAGTTTAGCATTCCAATCCCCTGTGATGAAAAGGACATCTTTTTTGGTGTTGGTTCTAGAACATGGGTGTCAAACTTGCGGTGTCAGGTTGCCATCATGTGACGTTTCACGATGTTTTCCCCCTTCATGGAGCTGGGGTGGCCATGGCCTGCATGTGACACATCTGGCCTATGGACCCCAGTTTAACACCCCTGTTCTAAAAGAATTGTCATTCTTCATAGAACCAATCAACTTTAGCTTCTTTGGCATTAGTGGTTGGGCCATAGATTTGGATTATTTTGATGTTGAATCGTTTGCCTTGGATTCGAACCAAGATCATTCTATTTTTGAGATCGTATCCCAGCACTGCTTTTTCTACTCTTTTATTGACTATGAGTTGATTATGACTATCTATTTCTTCTATGGGATTCTTGCCCACAGTAATAGATCTAATTGTCATTAGAATTAAATTTATCCATTTCCACTTTAGTTCACTGATTCTCAAGATGTTGATGTTCAGTCTTGCCATTTCATGTTTGATGACATTAACTTGATTCATTGATCTTAAATTCCAGGTTCCTATGCAATGTTGTTCTATACAGCATTGGACTTTCCTTTCACCATCAGACACATCCACAACTGAGTATATTTTCAGCTTCACTTTTTCTGGAGCTACTTCTAATTCTCCTCTGCTGTTCCTCAGTAGCATATTAGTCACCTTCCAACTTAATGGTCTCATCATGCAGTGTCATAGCTTTTGGACTTTTCATAAGTGCAGCTGATTTTCTTTATTAAAGGTGGAAAAAATTCTGAACTTATTTACCTTGGTCTAATTTTTTTCACATGTCAAAAACCTAGTATTTTAATAGAGATGTGTAAACTTTCTATATCCACTGTAACCCCAAGAGCACTGGGGTAATAGGCTTATAAGGACAAGCATAAGCTAGCAACCAGACCACTGTATTTTGAGTAGATATACTGAGTGTGTAGACATGAATTTCAGTATATACAGTATAGAGCACACTGTAGTAGTCTAACTAATGATGAGACACCAGTCAGTATTCCTCCCATTCCAAAACTGTTCCTCTATCCATGGCTTTCATCTGCCCTGCCCTTCCTGTTGGGCCACATCCAGAAAGCATGGTTAGGAAACTAACCACTGAAACACTTTATTTGTTGATTTATCATGTGTGAGAATAGTGGGTAATTAAATCCAGACAGGTCTGAAGTGATATTGGTATACTATATAGGAAATGTGATAGGGATTGAGGTTTAGCATTTGGGGGACAGGTTTGTACTCTTCTCTATGAATGGATTTGTGCCTTTATCAGCTGCATCTTATCCTTAGCTAGTCATATTTGGACAGAGCTGCATTTGGGTTCTGTTTGACTACTGCAGTGGGTTCTACATGGGTTAATACTTGAAATGAAAGTTGCTGTTAGTTCAAATACAGCAGCTAGGTACCACATAGTGAAACTAATGAGATTGCATTAAGCCTTTACTGAATTGCTTATCAGTTACAGTTTATGATTGGACATTCATATCAAAAACACTAACCAGCTTGGGACTTGAATACCTAAGGGACTCTCTTTATAATACTATACAGATCTGCAGTGGAAGCCCTTTTGAATGCATCCCACTAGCAGAAGCTCATTTGGATGACGTGTGAAAGAGGGACTTCACCTTTCCTCCCAAATCATGAATTACAATTCTTCCACAAATTGTTTGGTCTTTAATTTGTCTCTTTTTAAAAGTCTGAAAAGAAACATTTCTCTTGCTAGTTTTTTTAGGTGATTTTATCACTAATTTCAGCTTGAATTTTGATTTCTTTATTGCTTGTTTTTGCTTTTAAATTTTGCCAGGTTCTTTAAACACAGCTAAAGCAGACGTTAGGTGTAATGTTTTGTTTTATCAGTGAAGAGGAAAAATGCACAAAAAAATTACAAATCCCATACATGTATAGTAATAATTACCAAAATAAGACATTGTTATTGTAGAATTAAATTATTAATATTTAAACAGTTAACTTAATAATAAGGGAAATAAAACATCAAAACCAGTATGTGAATATAAATCTCTGAAACAGTGCATTAAGTTTCTAAAACACATTTTGTAAAAAAAAAAAAATTGAGATAGATCACGTACCCTATAACCTATATTATTAATTTTACCCCAAGTAGTCAGTTTAAATGAGACCTGATTATCCAAATTATTGTTACAATATTTTGATGATAAAATAGTTACATTATTTAATAGCATTTTATATATAGATATATACAGGGTTAAGGTATATACCATGTTTTCCTGAAAATAAGACCCAGTCTTATATTTTTTGGGGCTCCCAATTTCAGGGAAACATGATTTCAGGGTGATGCACGCAGGTGGGCATGCACAGACTGACAGTATCAGGCAGCAGCTGCAGCCTGCCAGTCCCTTTATCGATGCGCTCTGGGACTGCACAGTCCGTACATCACTGATAAGTTGATTCCCTGTCCAAGCAACAGATGGAGGCAGAGGCACGGGGGTGGGAGGTAGGGAGCATGTGTGCCACGGGAAAACCGAGAGTCAGGCCAAAGTGAGAGGCTCATCTTCGCATGGCGCCACCGGCAGCAGAGGCGCAGGGTGGAAGGCAGGCGATCTGACACATTGCGGGCCACAGGCAAGCCTAAAGAAGCAAAGATGAGCCTTCTGCGGCTGGCCGCCCATTCCAGCTCACAGACTCTTGACTTTCCCATAGCCCACACAGCACGTCTGGATTGCCTGCCTTATCCACTGTGCCTCTGCCACCGCTGCGCAAAGATGAGCCTCCTGCGTCCATCCACTGCTTCAGCCCACCAACTCTCGGCTTTCCCGCGACTCATGTGATACCTCTCCCACCTCTGGCTCTGTCTGCTGCTTCGACAGGTAATAAAGTCATGTTCTGACCCAGCTCCCCAAACATGAGAACACCTTTGAAGTGAACTCAAAAGATTCCTTTATTAGGAGTGATGACAACCCCAGCAAGAGGTTTCTCTCACAGGCTAACAAGTCCGTCTCTCTGGAAGATGAATAGTTGTCTGCCACATCTATTCATCTCCGCTCCCTGCCTTTTATTCTCAGAGCTAAGGTGGGGCCTTGCTAACAGTGGTGGCTCTTCTTTCCCCAGGATCGGCCCATGGCTTTCCACTGCTCTCCTCTGCCTTCTGCGCAGCCGCATATCAGGCACTGGACCCAGCTGTTCCTCCTCTTCTTCAACAACCACCTCCAGACCTGGGGGCTGTTGACTCTCCATCTGAGGGCTGACGGATGGCCCAGGCCCAGGCTCTGCCTCTGCCTCTCTCTGTGTGTGTGTGTCAGCTCCATTCCCTCTTCCCCCTTGGAGCTCTCAGGTTGCCTTGATGCTGACCCTGACTCCCACACCTCCTCCTCTGATTTGGCTGCTGGAGAGGCCGGCGGCCGACAGGCCACAGGTCACCTCTGTGAACTGTGGCTGCTGCTGGACACTGTTGGCCTAAATACGCTCACCGTCTCCTATGCTTGCCATGCCCACCCCCTTATTTTCAGGGAAACATGGTACTTAGGTTTTAATGTTAATATTTATATTACACTAACAATAGCACTTCTGTTTAATAATCTCAGATACATTTCTGAGATACAAAGATAGAAATGGGAATAATATTGTTGGAAAGGAAGATTAGATTTCTTATTTCTTGTATTAGTTGTTAACATTTCTTGTAACATCAGTATTAGTGTTTCTTTTTTTAACATTGAAGTCTTATCAGTATTCTCACCTGTAATGAAAACTAAACTTATTTTTATCTTTGGATAGAATTAAATCAAAATTTATAGCTAAAAACAGTCATTTATATTTTTATATGTTTAAAAATAGTTTTGCAACAATTTTTTGAAGTACTATAAATTATATCAATTGTAGATTTTTAGATCAAAAATGTCAAAAAAATGTCAAAATGGAATTCTTCGAGGGTGGGATCAGCATTGTAGTTCCCTTCCGTGGGCCAGGGGTGGGAGATAGGACAGACACCTCCTGCATCACCCTGCTGGCCAAAATGGGGATGGGGGAGCTGCATGTGGCCCCCTCTGCCCTGTTTTCTGCCTGAAGAACCTCCTGCAGCACTTTACCAGCCAAAACGGTGCATGGGGGCCACATGTGTCCCCCACACCTCATTTTTGCCCTCCAGCAGCACTCTGTCGGCCAAAAATGGGCTGCGCGGAGGCCTCCTGAGGCCCCCACACAGCCCGTTTTTGGCTGGCAGAGTGCTGCTGGAGGCTGAAAACAGGCCGTTCTCTTCATTTCTCTGTGGCTGGTTTCAGTCAATGTTGAGAGGAGGTCCAGCCTATGCCCTCATCTTTGTGGGGTTCCACACTCTGGATTCTTGCTTCCTGTTTAACATCCATGTGAGGTGCTGGGTAAGGTCATCTGAAAATTTGGAATGAAGTATCATCAGTGTGCTGATTATAGTCAGCTTTATATCTATAGCCCTGACCATTTCAGTGATGTCATAGACATCTTGTCTGGTCATGTGAATGTGGCATAATAGGCTTTGGTTCAACCCAAGAAAGACTGAGTGGCTTTGAGAGTTTGAAAATTGTGGTGCTGGAAATGATCCATCCTAAACCCCCTCTCCTTCCCCCGCTCGCTCGTAATAATCTTTTTTATAAAAATACGTAGTCCTTTTGAGCATAATGTGCAAATGTGGATTATAAAGTCAATTGATTCCTCTAGTTAACTGAAGAACCAAATACTTGATATAAAAATGTTTCAATTATACATGAATTTTTAAGATGTTGTCTTTAACTTCTAAGATTTTGAATCTAATGTACTTGATTTCATAATACTTTTCCTAGATCTAATTGAAGGTGTAACAATAACATCGACAGAACAGACCACGGTTACAAAAGCTCAAGGAGATAAAGTTACACTGCTGTGCACATTTACTCTCGCTACAGCAGATACAAGCGCTGATGAAGTTGAATGGAGTATTTTGCCACCACAAGGGGAAGAACCAGTAAGTAGAAATCATTGTGTAGATATAATACTCATTTTGAATTTAGGCTGTGTGCATTGTAAGTTAAGTTATTAATGGGAATACTGTATCCTTCTCTAGGGCACTTTGGAGAAGTATTTTGAACAGATTATTTATAGCTAAGTCATACAGTGACTTAAAATGTGTTCCGTTTGCCACACAAGTCCTAAAAGTAGGTAAAGAAAGCCCAATTAAATAAATGAGTCAAAAATATAATAAATTGAAAAGGTTCAAAAGACCCTAGAGTGCCATTGGAAGAAAACAAAGAATAAACTTGGCTAAGCACAAGTTAAGGCCACTGTTAAGGTTTACCTTGTGGTAGTAAGTGGTGAAGCATCAATACTTTTCTGTTCTTATTGCATCCACTCCTAAACAGAGGTGCTGTTTAGAGTTACCCGGATTCATATTGGAAAGGGTGGCCCCAAGATCAGCCTGTAGGACCATATGGAAGAATTCCGGGCATCTAGCAGATAAAATCGCTTGGATTTGCGCTCAGTTGGATACCAAGCATGATGCAAGCCTTGTGGAGACGCCACCCTGTTGTGCAGATCAGACTTTGATAGTGAATATCCAGAATTACTTTGTTCTTTAAATTATTCAGGACCTCACATACTCACTGCTGATTATTTTTTTAATGATTAAAACACTTGACATTTCTCCTTTAAATGAATTGACAATCCTAGATATACACATACTTTTGCTACACAGAAATATGTAGCTTTGGACCATTTTCTTCAATAATTAATTAAGAAGTATATTTTTGACAGGGCACTCTTCATCTAATTTTAACATTTGTGTGGAGAACAGATCATGTTTTAGGCCATATTTATGCAGAAATATATGAAATACAAAAGAATTCACAAACTTTTAAATACCACTGTAGCTTAATGAATCTTTTATTTTTCCCCCATTCAGGTTATCATATATAATGAAGGCAAACTTTATGATAAATATGCTATGATGGGACGAGTACAGTTTGCTAAACAAAATCCAACATCTGGAAATGCAAGCATTGATATCTTAAATTTAAAACCAGAAGATACTGGCACATACCAATGTAAAGTGAGGAAACTTCCTAGTATTAAAACTCATAGAGTCCATTTGATAGTACTTGGTAAGGTATTTATGGTTTGCCTTTTTTGTATAGCTCTGTATGAGGTGGTAAATATGAATATTTAATACATAGGAAGTACAGCGTAATGTAAAAAATATAATGCACTGTTGGATACTGAGCAATAGTTTGGCTAGATTTCTTTTAAAATTAGTAGCTTTGTTGTTTTTTTTAAATTATTTTCATAAATTTCAGTATGTTACCTTTTTAGGTTTAAATCTTTTGAATTATATTCACATGACCTTGGGAAATTAAAACTAGGAAAAATGAGGCACGATGATACATATGTAATACAAATGATATGTGAATTATACTTTTGTTGTTACATAATATAAATTTATGATTGTGAAAGGGCATCTATCATAATGTTCATTCTACAATATTTGACTTTCTAGTAAAATTCTCTGCATTATGTATATATAATACATACATAACAGTTATGCATACCCCAGCCTTTCCTAGCAAGCAGGGCTGTTACGAATTATGTTGCTTGAAATTTCTGCTTTTTGTTTTTAGTAGAAATATAGTTTGATCTACTAAGATGAAACTATTTTTAATTTCCAATTCTTCCCCTACAGGTTTTGTGACATCTCTTGAAAGTCGAGGTTTTGTAGCTAAGTAGTTTGTTTGAGAACATACATGTTTCAGAATAAAAGCACTAGGTTGAGGCAATAAAAAATAAACTCACAGAAGAGAACCAGTACATAGAACTAAAAAGAGATATTGAGGGATTAATATGTTTCAATTTGTTGGTCTTCCACTTATTAAGATTGTAATTCATTATTCTAATATATTTATTATTTCATGCATTTACACTAAGAGTTCAAATTGACATAAAAGTAGACTCCTTAATTTTATCCTAGAAAAGCTTGGTTGGGGTAGAATAACCTAAAATGGTGGTTCTCAACTTGTGGTCCGCGGACCCCTGGAAGGCTATGATGTCACAGGGGTCTTTGAAGGCTTGGTGGAGTCTACTTTAAATCTTCAGTTAAGTCTTGGTGGTCCGTGCCCATGGACTGTGGTCACAATAGGTTGTTGGAAGAAATATCCATCTGGTTCAGTTCCAAGTGGGGAGAAAGACACTGGAAACATGGAGGCTGATTAGATAGATAGTTTTTAATGAAGCAGAACCATCAAGCACATGGTCCTGGTGCAATTGAACACAAGTTGAGAGAGGAATATTTATACCCTCTCTTAGGCTTTGCACTTGAAGTTCCTGTTCCTGTGGAAGAACATGTATTCTGTTGGCTGTTGTAGGGGGTCAGAGCTAACTTTGGAGGTTGTCTTGAGTCCCAGGCTTGGTTGAAGCTTGCAGTGATGTAATGTCCCTAGTGATTGTGCCATGCTGCCAAATAGTTTAATCCTATTATGTCCTGGAGAGACATGTCTTAATCCCATCACCCTGGAGCTGGAAGTCTTTTGTCTTGTAGATAGGCTGGCCCAGTCTTTCTTTTTTTTCTTTTTTTTTATTGAAAAAGTTTTTCAAATACAGATTTCCCCCCCAACCCCCCTCCCCCTCCCCTCCCCCCATGGCTTCTCCAGGATGAAATCCAAATTAATATCACATTATATAATACTTTACCACCCTTTTACATCACCCCCTATGTGCTAAACATTTCTTTCTAACATTATTATTATGTCCCCCGTATACTATACATTTCAAAACAAAACAGCATTCAGCTATAAAACTATATAATAGATCCTAATTTGGCATTTATTCTACTCATAATCTACCCATTTCCTTCACCCCCATACGTATATCTCTTAATTCAAATCTTTTAAGTATATTAATATCTAAACATAACATCCCTTTTCCTAAACTAAGCAATCAGTAACCTAACCTATCACCTTGTACCATATCAATTTTGTTTCACCCACTTTCCTACAGGTCTACCATACATAATATATTTAATATCTTTATTCGTCTGCCCGTATCACTAAAAGATATTTCCATATATAAATAAAACCCTCAAATGACTTTAAATTTGTATTCCATATAGTATCTTCTGTAATGTCTTTCAACTAGATTGTTAATTCCATCGACCATGTTAGGGTAACATCAAATCCTGCTTCCAACAGTGTATTTAGTATCTTCAATTCATCTGCTCCCGTCATTAATAAGTATTTCTGTATATAACCCCCCCCCCGAGTGACTTTATATTTATATTCCATATGGTATCTTCTGTGATGTCTTTTGTGTAGATTAGTAATTCCAATAACCACGTTAGGGTAACAACCAGATCATCTGCATGCCCCTATTCCATAGTTCTCTTGCCTTATAGCTCAACATATGCGTAGTCCATCTTTCATAGAGTCCATAATAGAAAGTTCCAGTCCGCTCAATCACAGGCCGTCTTCCACATCCCAAAGACACCAGCACTGCAAAGATCTGTTATTCTTCTCAAAATAGTATAAGTCTGTAATTTGCCTCCGTTATGTTTTCATGTATCTGCCTTCTATAAATCCCGCTTATTATATTAAATCGTCTCTTAAATAACTGGCATTAGTCTGTTGGTTAAAAAAAAATTAGTTTAAAATTTTTGAGTTTTGTAGAACCTGCTTCTTCTTTTCTTAACTTCTTGTGGCTTAGATCTCCACCATGGTTGCTTTTCTAAGACTTGTATGTTAACTGGTTGAATTACATGCTGGTCTTTAACTTGATAAGACATCAAATCGAGATCCAAAGCCGCCTCTCTTATATTTATAGGTGATCCAACTGTAACCTCTGAGGGTGAATCCAAAAGCGGCTCATCCATAAAGCCCTCTGTAACTTGTTGTTTTTCCATTACCTCCATCTCCATCTGCTTACCCTGAGCTGCAATCTCTTGTTCATTTTGTTTTTCTTTGTCACCCTCCTGTATTCCTGACACTGATGACATGCGTAGAGACGTTGGGCCCATTTTAAAAACCTTGTAGTAAAATTCTTCCGCTTTTTCAACAGTGTTTAATTGATATCTTTCTCCTTGATGTCTCAATATTATACCAACTGGAGCATCCCACCTAAATGGGATGTTTTGTTTCTTTAGCTCAGTCACCAAAAATCCAAAGTCCTTTCTGTCTTTTAACATCTTGGACGGCAGCTCTTTATATATCTGGATCTTTATTCCATTCACTTCTAGAGTGGAGTTAAAAGACTTTTGCACAATATCATTTCTTATTCCTTTATCAGTAAAATAAATCACCACATCTCTTAGGCAATTGCCTTTGCTTTGCCACCCAAGAATTTATTCTGTAGACCTTATCAATTTTACAGAATACCTCTTCAAAACTAACGTTTAAAATCACAGCCAGAACTTCAGCAGACATCTTTCTCAAGTCTTCTCTGTTATTTTCCTGTATTCCCCTCATTCTGATCACAAATTCCATGGATCTGAATTGCATCATTGTAACTTCATTTTCATGCATCGTTGCGCCGACATTCCTCAGTTCTGGGATCTTCACTCATTCGATTTGTCTTACTGAGTGCTTGTCAAATATTTATCTCCCTCTGCAGTATGGTTCCGCCCCCTCCTTCTGCGCATGCTCAGTCTTTTTCACTCAGTCGACTTAACAGGTCTAGAGTGCTTTTGTTCTACAGATAATCTGTCTAAATTCATTATTATTATAATTTATTAGAGGGCTGCGTTAATGGAATCTGACTTGACAGCATTACAATTGCCTTAAAAAAGATCGCTATTTAAATAGCGGCGTTAAGGGGCTGCTAGCCGCTTTGCCGATCAATCAGCAGCGATCCGCTGAGGTTCGGACGCTGTTTGCTTATTTCGCCGTCTATACTGAAGTGGAATTTTTCTTAGTTCAAATTGCGGCGCTAAGGGGCTGCTAGCCGCCTTGCCGATCAGTCAGCAGCGATCCGCTGAGGTTCGGACGCTGTTTGCTTATTTTCGCCGAGGTGTTAGAGCTGGTGAATAACCGCCAACACCACTGCAGCCCTCCTATTTTCAGCGGCGAGTTAGTTACTAAAGTATCTTTCAGGCTCATGTGGAAGTTACATGTTAATTAAGTTACAATGTAACACTTGGAAGCTGCCTTGTTTATTTAAGCCGCGGTGTTAGAGCTAGTGAATAACTGCCAACACCTTTGAAGTTTATTTATTTGCTAGCGGCGAAGGAGTTTTTTCTGATATTGGATTTCAGACTCCTAATGAAAGAATTTACTTACTTTTAAGTAAATTGAGAGACCCTTTAAAGTCCCTGTCTACGCAAGGCATACTTAGTCTTTGAAAGTTGTGTTTTTCTTTCGTTATACACTTGAGTGTTTATTATTAATATAAAGCAATCAAATCAGTTCGGAAACGTTGGCTCGAGGAATCTTCGTTAAACTGACAGTTGCTGAGGCGAGCAACTGACAGCGGCGCCATTTTTAACTGTCAATACTTCGTTCATCATTGGTAACATCAACTGACAGAAGTTCATCTCAGGGAAGTTAATCAAATTAATCCTTTGCTTTATATTATCTACATTGTAAGTCTTGTGATCAGCTTCCTTCATTTTAGACTCTACTTCTGAGCTATTTTCTTAAATTATTGTCAAATCATTTTCAATTCTTTGTATTTTATTATCCAGATTATAAATCTTATAATCAGCTTCCTTCATTTTAGACTCTATTTCTAAATTGATATCTTTATCCATCTTTAGAATTACTTCTGAAAAGCTTTTCAAAGCTGTTACAATATAGCGCTTCAGGTTATCATACTTTTATTGAACCAACTCTTTATTTTATTTTATTTATTTTATTTATATTGGATTTCTATACCGCCCTTCTCCCTGAGGACTCAGGGCGGTGTACAGCCAGATTAAAAAACATGCAGAACAAATATAAAAACAATTAAAAGATATATAAATTTGGCCCAATTAAAACTCATTTACCAATTAAAAACGTTTAAAACATTAAAAACAGTTAAAAATTTCATCTTAAGCCAGCCGGCTTGTTTAAATAAATGGGTTTTAAGGCGCGATGGAAGGCACTGAGGTCTTGGATTCTCCTTATCTCTGGGGGGAGCTGATTCCAGAGGGTGGGAGCCCCCACAGAGAAGCTCTCCCCCTGGGGTCACCAGCCTACATTGTCTGGCTGATGGCACCCCGAGGAGGCCCTCTCTGTGGGAGCGCACGGGTCGATGGGGTCGTTGGTAGCAGCAGGCGGTCTCGAAGATAGCTAGGCCCTATGCCATGGAGCGCTTTAAGGTGATAACCAACACCTTGAAGCGCACCCGGAAGACAACTGGGAGCCAGTGCAGCTCGCGCAGGAGCGGTGTTACATGGGAGCGCCATGCTGCTCCCGTCACTACCCGTGCTGCTGCGTTCTGGACCAGCTGGAGCCTCCGGTGCTCCTCAAGGGGAGCCCCATGTAGAGAGCGTTGCAATAGTCAAGGCGAGAGGTGACGAGGGCGTGAGTGACTGTGCACAGGAATCCCGATCAAGAAAGGCCGCAACTGGCGAATCAGGCGAACCTGACAAAAGGTCCCCCTGGTTACAGCCGTCAGATGTTCCTCCAAGGACAGCTGCATATCCAGGAGGACTCCCAGATTGCGAGCCCTCTCTGTGGGGGCCAATGACTCGCCCCCAATAGTCAGTGATGGAGTCAACTGACTATATCGGGATGCCGGGAGCCACAGCCACTCAGTCTTGGAAGGGTTGAGCTTGAGCCTGTTCCTCCCCATCCAGATCCTTTGTATTTTATTATCCAGATTATAAATCTTATAATCAGCTTCCTTCATTTTAGACTCTATTTCTAAATTGATATCTTTATCCATCTTTAGAATTACTTCTGAAAAGCTTTTCAAAGCTGTTACAATATAGCGCTTCAGGTTATCATACTTTTATTGAACCAACTCTTTAATTTCCTGTCTAAATTTTTCAAGATTCTGGTTCATAATCTCATCATGTCTTGCCAACTCCTCCACAACAAATTCCTTTAAATCTTTAAAACCATTCTTCTGCATCTGCGAGCTCAAAAATTGCTCTTGTGATTTATAAATGGGGGAGCCCCCCCCCCACATCTTGGTTGTCTGGCTTTGTCAGTTTTAACGCCATCCTGCCACACAAACAGACTCTTTTTAAAGAAAAAGTCTTCTCTCCACACAATATCAATATCAAGTCTCTAAGAAGGAAGAAGCATGAAACAAAAAATTTTCTCTTCTCTTGTAGCCAGAGCTATTGCTTCAAATACTTTGTAGCATATTAAACCATTCAAACGGAAAGACTTTCTCTTTCAGCTTTCTTCTCAAGCCTCAGCCAGCCACCATTTTAAACTTTTTTTTCCCCTTTCACTCTTTCTTCATTAAAATCAATCATAGGGTTGTTACAAATACTTGCAATTTAGAATCCCAAATCCAGATTTCATCCTGCTTATACAAGCAATCTGTTAGTTTTCGCTGATTAGGTTGGTCACATCGTCTAGCTCTGCAAAGCGCAGAGTTCCCCCGAAGCCCGGAGTAGCGGCGAGCTGGATAGGGAGCCTCATCCTGCTTCCTCCCCAAGAGTAAAAAAAAAATTCTGGGGACTTCGCAGAGGGCTCTACCTGTTCTCGCCGGCTCTCCTCACATTTCCTTAAAGAAACGGAGTTTTTCGAGCCGCCTCTCAGCTGTAAAGGCGGCTCTTTACGGGCGGCACGGGTGGCGGTCCCGAAAGACTGTCTAGCGACGACGGAAGCCAAACCGGAAGTCCAGTCTTTCTTAATGGGCACCAAATATCTGCTGGGGGCAGGGAGCTGCTCTCTATCTTTAAAATATGTTTCTTCTTTTATCATCCAGGGAAATATAATATTCTGACCTTTTTAATATTTCCTAAAATATTTCACTCTTCTAGGAGAAGGGTTAGTGCTAACTTTCTACAAGGTATTTAAAGGGGATCCATGGTGAAGAAAAGGTTGAGAACCATTGACCAGAGCATAACTGATCCAAAGGCAGCCAGTTGGCTTCCATGGCTAAGGGAGTTTAAATCTTGAATTCATTTAACCTAAGCCAATACTCACATAGTTCTGACATACTATCATCATGATAATTCATATAATTAGAAATTATATAACACATATACCATATTTTTCGGAGTATAAGACATACCATTTTCCCCCCTAAAATGAGGTGAAAATTTAGGTGCGTCTTATACACCGAATGTAGCCCCACTACACTGACCCCCACCCTTTGGCTTCTGCCTCGCAGCAGTTACCTCCTTGCAAGCAAACAGCAAGAAAAAACAGTTCCTTTCAGCTTCAGTACAACCTAATTAGCACAAGTTGATTGGATCGGCCTCCCGACTCTCAGCTGATTTGCAAAGAGGTAAATTGCTGGAGCAGATTTTTTTCCCCCTTGTGCTAATCAAGCTATGCTGAAAACAAAAATGAAAGTAAAGCAAGCTGTTTGCTGTTTCCTGCAACAAAGCAAAATTGCGCAAGGGCAGATTTCATTTTCTTCTTTTTCTCACCAAAAAAGGTAGGTGCATCTTATACTACGGTGCATTTTATACTCTGAAAAATACGGTAATCTACTGTGATATTGCAGATCAAAGCTTGTAGAATAGTTGTAGCTTGGATTGGTTAGCTGTTAACGATTTGAAGTGAAACAGGTATTTCAGCAAGATTATAGGTTGTTATCTCCTAAAGTCTGAAACTTCCTTGACTCACAGATTAGCATAACAGTCCAGGAAGATACATGCTTGAGCTAAAGAGGCACTTACAGGATTATTGTGAACTCAGAAAAGGATATAGCAAATATCAGCAAATATGTGATATAGTTTTGGATTTGGTTTCATACTGTTGCTAGGGTAAATTGCTACTGTTTAATAGTCTGCTAAAATCTCTTGGGTATACAAAATACTTCTAGGTATACAAGCAAATGCCAATTCGTTTTATCACAATTAAAACTTATATTAGATTCTTTATTTGTTAGAAAAACCCATGAAGACTAAATGCCACATTGAGGGATCACAGGAGATTGGAAGTGATCTTACTCTGAAATGTAAATCCCAAGAAGGCTCTCCCATCATAGTTTACTCCTGGGAAAAAATTACTGGTTCACAAGAACTTCCAGCAACAGCATTACCAAGTATGCTTTCATGATATTAATATATTTTTCATAAACAGGGCTATTGTTTTACTGTCTTCAAGTGCTAAATTAATTTTAGATATAACTTTTAGATATAAGAAAAAAAATTTTTTTTAAATTTATGTTATAAGGTATTTTATTTACCATGTAATTATCCAAAATATTTCTCAGGTGGTATATCATCAGATTTTTAAGTTCTTAAAACTAGTTGAAAAGGGAAAATAGACTAAAATTTAGCTGAAGGGAACAGAGCTACGGCATTTTTCTCTACGGTTTACTGTTGCCTATATTCTTTTAGAAGGATTAATGTAGAAAGGTTCAGGATGGAATATTTGTTTTGTTCCTAAATGGCAAGCGCTTAATTAAAAATTAAGATGTATGAATAAAACATTTGGTAGTAGAAGGGGAGCATGGGCAAACTGCACATACAATATTACTATCCTAAATATGCACTGTGTGCACAATTATTAGGCAAGCTGTATTTTGAAGGATTAATTTTATTATTGAACAACTACAGTGCTCTCGGTCAATCCAAAATGTTAATAAACCTCAAACCTGAATATTTAAGAAAGTAAAAGTGAGGTTATGGCTTTCTTAGGAGAATATCTATATGTGCACAATTATTGGGCAATTATTAGTGTGCAGAATTACGTAACTAAATGAAAAATGAAAATTTTCCCATCTCATTTATTTCTCTCTGTTAAAGAGAGAATAATAAACAACTCAAATTTTACAAATAAACATTTTTGACAATTCAAACAAAATAAAATCAGTGACCAATATAGCCACCCTTCTTTTCAATAACAGACATAAGCCTTCCATTCATGGAGTCCGTCAGTCCTTGATCTGTTGACGATCAACTTTTTGTGCATCAGCAACCACAGCCTCCCAGACACAATTCAGAGAGGTGTACTGTTTTCCTTCACCATAAATCTCCCATTTAAGAAGGGCTCACAAGTTCTCAATAGGGTTTAGATCAGTTGAGGAAGGGGGGCATGTAATTATTCTTTCACCTTGAAGGCCTTTACTGGCTAGCCACGCAGTGGAGTACTTCAATGCATGTGATGGAGCATTGTCATGCATAACATTCATGGTCCTCTTAAAAGTTGCAGATTTTTTCCTGTACCACTGCTTGAAGAAAGTGTCTTCTAAAAACTGGCAGTAGGTTTAGGAGTTATTTTTAGTCCATCTTCAACCTGAAAAGGTCCAACTAGTTCATCTTTCATAATACCAACCGATACCAGTACCCCACCTCCACCTTGCTGGCATCTGAGTCGAAGTTGAGCTCTGTGCCCGTTACTGATCCAGCCATTGGCCCATCCATCTGGTCCATCAAGAGTCACACTCATCTCATCAGTCCATAAAAACTTTGGAAAATCTGTCTTCAGATATTTCTTGGCTCAGTCTTGCCGTTTCAATGTTTGTGTTTCATTCAGTGGTGGTCGGATTTCAGCCTTCCTTACCTTGGCCATGTCTTTGAGCACTGAACACCTTGTACTTTTGGGCACTCCAGGTAGGTTGCAGTTCTGAAATATGATAGCACTAGAGGTTAATGGGTTCCTGGTAGCTTCATGTTTGATTGTCAAATTTTTGGCAGTTGAGGTGCATCTTTTTTTCTCAACATGTTTCTTGTGACCCTTTTGACTATTTGGGACAAAACGTTTGACGGTTTTGTGATCATGCCCCAATATCTTAGCAATTTCAAGAGTGCTGCATCCCTCTGAAAGATTTTACAATTTTTGACTTTTCAGCCATTTAAATCTATTTTTAGCCCATTTTGCATGAAGAAAAGAAGCTTCCTAATAATTATGCACACCTTAATATAGGATATTGATCTCCGTAGGCCACACTCTCCCTCATTACACAAATACACATCACCTAATATGCTTATATCCACTAAGCATTCCAGTTTATACAGCTTGGAGGGGGAAAATATGCATAAAAATGATGATATGGTCAAAATAATCACTTGCCTAATAATTGTGCACACAATGTTTATACCAATTAGGCTATTCCCTAATGAGAGTAAGTACAGAAAAGTTCTAAGAAATACTAAGGAATTCCTGAACTAGTTTTGAAGCCATCCAAAACCACCGGTTTTTCAGCTCTTACAATCAGTGAATTTCCACAATCTTTATATATACAGTTGCAAGAAAAAGTATGTGAACCCTTTGGGATTACGTGGAGTTTTGCATGAATTGGTCATAAAATGTGCTCTGAACTTCATCTAAGTCACAACAATAGAAAAACACAGTCTGCTTAAAATAATACGACACAAACATTAGTTGTTGCCATGGTTTAATTGAACATAACATGTAAACATTCACAGTGCAGGGAGGAAAAAGTATGTGAACCTTTGGACTTAATAACTGGTTGACCCTCCTTTGGCAGCAATAACCTCAACCAAACATTTCCTGTAGTTGCAGATCAGACCTGCACAATGATCTGGAGTAATTTTGGACCACTCCTCTTCACAAAACTGTTTCAATGTAGCAATATTCTTGGGATGTCTGGTGTGAATCGCTCTCTTAAGGTCATGCCACAGCATTTCAATCGGGTTGAGGTCAGGACTCTGACTGGGCCACTCCAGAAGGCGTATTCTGTGCTGTTGAAGCCATTTTTTTGTTGAATTACTTGTATGCTTTGGGTCATTGTCCTGTTGCATCACCCATCCTCTGCGGAGCTTCAGTTGGTGGGCAGATGGTCATACGTTTTCCTGCAAAATGTCTTGATAAACTCTGGAATTGATTTTCCCATCAGTGACAAGAATCCATCCAGGCCTGAGGCAGCAAAGCAGCCCCAAACCATGATGCTCCCTCCGCCATGTTTTACAGTGGGGATGAGGTTTTGATGTTGGTGTGCTGTGCCTTTTTTTCTCCACACATAGTGTTGTGTGTTCTTCCCAAACAACTCAATTTTGGTTTCATCTGTCCACAGTATATTTTGCCAGTAGTGCTGTGGAACATCCAGGTGCTCTTTTGCAAACTTCAAATGTGCTGCAATAATTTTTTGGGACAACAATGGCTTCCTCTGTGGTGTCCTCCCATGTACTCCATTCTTGTTTAATGTTTTCCTTATTGTAGATATGTCAACAAAAATGTGCCAGAGATTTCTGTAGGTCTTTAGCTGACACTCTAGGATTCTTCTTTACCTCATGAAGCATTCTGCGCTGTGCTCTTGCAGTCATTTTTACAGGACGACCATGCCTAGGGAGAGTAGCAACAGTGCTAAACTTCCTCCATTTGTAGACAGTCTGTCTTACCGTGGACACATGAACATCAAGGCTTTTGGAGATACTTTTGTAACCCTTTCCAGCTTCATGCAAGTCAACAATTCTTGATCGTAGGTCTTCTGAGAGCTCTTTTCTGCAAGGCATGGTTCACATCAGACAGTGCTTCTTGAAACCAGTAAACCCAAAACAGATGTGTTTTTTTAAAGGGCAGGACAGCTGTCAGCAACACATCCAATATCATCACACTGATTGGAGTCAAGGTTGGCTCACTCATGGCTCCAATTAGCTCTTGGAGAAGTCATTAGGCTAGGGGCTCACATACTTTTTCTTCCCTGCACTCTGAATGTTTACATGTTATGTTCAATTAAACCATGGCAACATCTAATATTTGTGTCGTATTATTTTAAGCAGACTGTGTTTTTCTATTGTTGTGACTTAGATGAAGTTCAGAGTACATTTTATGACCAATTCATGCAAAACTCCACGTAATCCCAAGGGGTTCACATACTTTTTCTTGCAACTGTATATTTAATCTTAAATGGAGATAATTCTCTAAGACTCTTGAGGTAATTATTTCATGAAGTCTTCTCGGTAAGTGATAGTACTTATCCAATCTAGACTTACCTCAGAATGCTAAGCAGGTTTCAGCAGGGAGGAGTAGCCTTGCAAAAGACATGGTTGCTCTAACAATCTCAAAGTAGTACATTGAACCAACTTCTCATGTATTATGAATTGTCTTATTTGAAGAATTCACACATTACTAATAATTTTGTAAGATGGTAACAGTTTCTTCATCAGAAAAATCTATCTTTCCCTTAAAACGTATATGATTTGCAACTAGTCTGATCACAGAAAAAGTGTTCATCTGTAGAAGTGCTTATATGCACAGGCATTAGGAGAAGAGCTTCTATTTACTCTCGTTTCCAAAATAATTCTAATACTCAGTTGTAGATTTAGATCAATAAAATATGCTATATTTAAGTAATAAAGTGACATTACATGAAATAACATATTTATTGTTTTTTATTCTATAAATTGATGCAAAAATTCTAACAAATACCTTAAATATTTACAGATGAAAATACAGGTGACTTATTTGTGAAAAATGCCTCTCAGACTTATTCTGGTACTTACACATGTTTGGCTTACAATAAAGTCGGCAGAGATGAATGTTCTGTCATACTGTCTATTGTACCCCGTAAGTATTAGTCAACAGGCAAGTGAAGTAATAAAAATAGACATTAGGTAAATAGTTGTATTAAACTGCAAAATTAATTTCTGCTATCTGACATAAGTTTTTGTTTTCTTTTTTTTTTTTTTGTATTTTAGCTATAGATAGAGCTGGTACTATTGCTGGAGCAGTTATAGGAACTCTTCTGGCACTCAGCTTAATGGCTTTTATCATTTTCTGTTGCTATAAGAAACGAAGAGACACAAAATATGAAAAAGAAGTACATCATGATATCAGGTGATGCATTTTGATTAACTGAATATTTGAAAATTTTATTTCTAAAAATGTTAAAACTTCTAGAAGTATTGATTTACCTGATTTTAGCTGCAAAAATAGCAGCCAAATAACAGTGAAAGTGTCTGGATAACCTTTTGCTTGAAAAATGGTTTCATATGATTTGGTTATTGTTGTGATTACACAAAATTCACAAGTTTATAACGCAAAGTGGGAAAATATTGGAATGGGCCTAGCGAGATTTTGTTTTATAAATGACAAAATAAATATTAAAATGTATGAAAAATTAAACCTGATTAAGATTTAGATGCAATAGTCAATTGATGATTTTATTTGCTTTGGTGAAACGGTATCAGTCAGAAAACCTAATAAGCATACTTGGCTTCATAAGCCAATAGAATACTGAATAGATACTGATATTTGCCCTAGCATTGAAAAGCAGTTCTTCAAAGTCGTTTTGTTAGCTAAAATAACAAAAGTCGTAAATTGTTATTCGTAATATAGCAAGAAAAGGAAATGATCAATGTACAATTTTTGTATATAAATTGTAGCATTTTAAAATACTAAAATATAACATAATATGATATATATTAGCGCATCAATTCTTTTCATTCTTCAAGAAATTATATTTTTCTTTTTTCTTCATTTCCTTTATTCCCTGCCCTTGAATTTTTTTTTTCTTTTGATAGTGAAACAGCAATTTGGGAGACACTAATTGTCTTAAAGGATGCCGCCCAGAGTCGTTATCTCAGGCTGATGAGCAGCATATAAATTAAACATTAATTCATTAATAGTAAATAAAATGCATCTTAAATCGCCATGCATTTATTTATTTACCATACATTTATTTAGGTTCAAGGAATGTAGCTTAGAATGAATGAGAATAAAAATAGTTTATGTTATATAGATTTATTTGACAAAAATATTCTAAAAAATTAATAAATCAGTGCCTGTGGGATTATGGAAATTAAAGTTCATTTATCCTAAAGTTGACAAGTTTTAGAAACACTGTGATAGAGAAAATGAATATTCTGCTATTATGGTAGTGTTAGTACTCTTCATTAAATAAAAAGTATTGATGGGTTTTAGTGTTTCTAAAGATTATTAAGTAAATTCTTAAATATGCTTCATTTTCAGAGAGGATGTTCCTCCTCCAAAGAGTCGTGCCTCAACAGCCCGTAGCTATATAGGGAGTAATCGATCATCTTTGGGCTCAATGTCTCCATCTAATATGGATGGTTTTACCAAAACTCAGTACAATAAAGTGCCGAGTGAAGACTTTGAACGTACTCCGTCTCAGAACCAGTACTTTGATCCACCAAAGGTAGCTGCACCTAATCTAAGTAGAATGGGAGCTATTCCTGTGATGATACCAGCACAAAGCAAAGATGGTTCCATAGTATAACATGACATTAATTTGAAGTTTTACCAGTTCATTACCACGTTGATGATTAGTTTGTTCCAGTTCTACACATTTAAAAATACTCTTGAACATCAAGATATATCTGCTTAGCTCAACATATTTTTATTAAGTTTGACTGCTTGCATTGAAAAGTTGACAGTGAAAAAATGCTGTCCACATTTGTAGGAATTTCTAAATAAATATTCAAATATGAATTATTGATCTATTAGTTATAGTAGATTGTATGACATGAAGCATTTTGTATTTACATTATTACAGATACCTGTTTATATGAGGACTGTTACAATGACAGTTTTTCTGTTCACAAATCTGAAAATAGAGACTCGCATTCTTGTAATATTGATTCTGGAGTACTTTTCTCAAAAACTTTGAATATTTAAAATGCATTATTAGTTATAGTAATGCACATGTTTACCATATTTACCAATTTCTGTCCTTTAACACACTTTCTCTTTCTGTCTCTTTCTCACTCTTGCTCTCTCCAGTCTTACAGGCTATTGCTTGTTCTATGTGGATAAATTGCTCCTTTCTAGATATGTAATATTGAATGGATTTAGTCAGCATACTAACTACAAACATGATCTGATAGTGAAATTAATCCTGAATTCAATCATTAATGATATGTTACAAGCTATACTTGCAATTTTGAAATTCCCTGCTTTTTATAAAGATTTGTGCAAATAAATTTTACATATGGGACCAGAATACTTAAGTTTAATTTATAAAATATACTGGCAGAATTACATTTTTGTAATAAAGTTTTCTGTAACACAAGAGCTGGTGAGGGCTTCCCCGCTATATTAATATCCTCAGTGTTATAACTTAGTACTTTTTTATTAATTCATCCTATTTATATTCCTCTACTGCTTTTATTACCAATAAAAATGATTGGAATACCAAAAAGTGAATATTGGCTTAAGCTGGTAGTTTATATGTATATGTGACAAATTATACCTTCTTATTAGGAAATTGCTCCCAATGAGTTATAAAATTTGCTTCTGTCTTTCTTTTTCCCATTTATCATGTCCAATTCTTGGAGACTGCAGTTTTCTTGACAAGGTTTTTCAGAAAGCTGTTGCCTCCTTCCTAGGGCTGAGATAATGTGACTAGCCCAAGATAACCAGTTGGTTTTCTGACTAAAGTGGGACTAGAACTCACTGTCTTTCAGTTTCTAGCCTGATGCCTTAACCACTTCACCAAATTGGCTCTTATGCTTTTTGTACATGAAAAATTTACTGCAAGAGAAGTTTAAATATTTATACTTGATAACTTAATTTTTTTTTTGAAATTGTGGTTCTCGTGTACATGAATAATTAAAAAATTAAGATATCAAGAATTAATATTTAAACTTACCTTGTAGTAACCCAAATTAGTATATTGATATTTCTTGTCTTACAATCATAGTTGGGACCAGAATTTCAGTTGCTAAGTGATGCAGTCGTAAAGCGATATATCATGTGATCACATCACTTAGTAATCTCAGCACTCCTGAATTATGGATTGTTAAGCAGAGAGAGTCTCATGTATCACAGAGAAGAGGGGGCCTGGTGCAGGCTGCATGCAAGTTGGGGAGAGTTGCAGTGTGGTACAAAGGTGCTGGAATCCTCAGCTTCTCCACCCCGATCCAGTAGCATGACACAATGGTGCTGCACCCTCAGAAGCCTCACCTATCCCACCAGGCCAAGCAGAGCTTAATGACTGCAGGGCCGTACATCTTTTCCCATCTGCCTATTTCCTCCTGATCTGTGCCCTTTTGGCCATCTTGCAAAGCAGCACTAGTCAGCCATTCCTTCTCCAAATAGTACATCCATTCTTGCAAGACCAGAAGATTTTTGAAGAGTCACTAGAATGGGATATGTGGCTTGGAGAAGGAATGACATGCATGGTTTGGAGAATGAGGTGTCTGAAGCATCGCAAGAATGGGACTTTTGCATTCTCCCAATAGTGCATCCATTCTTATGAAACTTGGGGAAGATAAGAAAGTTCTGGGGCTGAAGTAGAGGCCTGGGGGGTGGTATTAGCTGATTGAGCCTGCAAAAAGTAATGGGCCTCTACTTTAGCCCCAGCCCTGCCATTGTGCAGGATGGTTAAAAAGTAATAGATTGGGGGAAAATAGATGGGGGGAGGGATTGCCGATCCCCTGAATCCATGATTGCAGGAGTGTTGCAGTGAGCTTAAACTCATGGTCTTAAACTCATTTTTTCAGTACCATAATAATTGAATGGTCATAAACCAAGAACCACCTGAAATATCTTAATTGTAGTACAGTGTTTCTGTGTTACCTAATTTTAATTTAAAGAATTTTTATTTATAAATGTAATGCAACATAGTAGTACAAATAACTTTGATATTTATTAAGTGGACCTGATCTGATAGTATGATATATTGAATTAAATAATAAACAGTTTTTGAAGTGCACACACTATTATTACTAAGTTTAGATACTGGAGAGAAGTATTAGTCTTCGCATATTGAGGTCTTTTAGGTTTCTTGATACTGTTAGATATAAATTTTTATGTCTGCCTTAAACATGTGTTCAATAAACTTTATATTTGATTGTATGTCAGATTTCTCCTATAAAATTTCTGACCACCATGAAAAACAGTTTTTGAAAAATACTGCAATTTCCTTTATTGTTTAATATTTACTGCCAAATGCTGGTTAAGTCACTGCATAATTTTGTATTTCAGAATTTCTGCCTTTACTATTTTTATAATTCCTTCATGGGGTTTGATCTTACTCATACAACTCCCACTGCACAAGACTACTGAATTATTGTTATTATGCCATTTAAAAATAGAATAGAAAGATAATAATAAAAATCAATGTTCAATAAGAAGGCAGCTTCCTCTTAAATTTATGTTGGATTAAACCTAACTATTGTGTTTAAAGCTGGCTTGCTGAAATCCGTCAATCAAACTCGTGAGGTTTTTTTTATTATTATGTTTGCACATTGACGTTTTTAAAAAGATGTGACTATTGTAATAACAAAGAGTGTGCATATGTTCACGTGTTTTCAGAAAAAAAAATCAAAGGATTTGGAAATGCATTATGAACTTATGGTGTGGTATACAGTACTCTGAAGTACTACACTCAAGAATTTGGCTACATTGTTTAAATAATAGTTAGGTTTGAACAGTTCTGTCATTCTGTTGTGCCAGTAGATTGTTTCAATGTGTATACTTAATAGAATTCAGACAAAATGCAAAATGCTATTTGAAGTTTGAAAAATTCTGGAAAATTTAATTTTATCATTGCTCTTTCTCATGAAAATAATAAATGAATAGTAAAAAGATACAGTGGTTTATCAGCAAAATGTGATTTCTACATATTTAAATGTAGGATAGTCTGGTTGTATTTGTATATATATTAGGAATTGATTTGGGTTGGACTATTCTATACTTCTAGAATGTATTGAAAGTAATTTACATTTGATACAATCTGATTCATATTTTGTAAAAGATCGCTTTTCATGAGGCTGTGTTTCAATTGTGATGTATCAGAGCTCAAGAAAAAGTTATCTATTTTACATATAGTAATAAAAAGGCAAACAAGCTGGGATGATTCATATTAAGGCAATTCGACCTTTATCTCCCACAAGCTATTGGTAGGAAAAGAGATCAGTTGATTATTACACACTTTATTCTTATGAGCCCTTTCAGTAGCTATGTTTGTAGTAATAGTATGATTGATAATAGAGATTGTGCAACTATTGCCAATTTAATTATGTTAAAATTTATTTTGCCTTTTTAAAATAGCTTTCGAATAAGTAGATTAATCGGTTTATATTAATAGACTGTTGGCTTATGTTAAAGTATGAACTTAAGATTCCTTTTGAATGTGAAAATTAATGTAGGTTTTATATTAATATTGCATGTATCAAATCTGTCAAATAGCATACACAGGAGTTAAATTATGTTATGTTACAAGTCCATTAGCTTTATATTTAGTTAATGTTAATCCAGTAACCCCTTTTTATGACCCTGTAAATCGTTTACAGTACATCTTTTAAATATATGTACTGTACAGAATATTTTGTTTTGTGGTTTTTAATCAGAGATGTCAATGTCATTAACAGAGTATGTATTTTTTTATATGTAAAACTGGCAACTTTTAAAGCCAAATGCACCCTTTCCTGGAATTGTGTGACTTTGGAATACTGTAGGACAAAAGGGTTGCTTATTTAAAGAGGGAATCAAAACACATCCCTGGAACACAGTAAATGGAACAAATTGTGAAGAACATTTATGAGGCACCATCACAAGTTTTGGGTTTTGTGATGAACCCACTTATATATGATTTTTTTCCCCTACATTTTTGTTAAAAATTATAAGCACTGAAAATTGTGGAAGGAACTGGTTTTATTACTGGTATGTTTTATTACTGGTATAATGTTTGCAATAAAGATATTAGTAAAGCATATATTGTGATTTTCTTAAATATTGATAGTTTGTTTTGTAAATGCTTTTAAAAAGATAATTTGTTCATATTAAATATGTTCTTTACATAATTAAGCCAAAACAAAAAAAACAATTTTGGGGGAGCAAAATTACGAAAGAAATTGGGTTTGATTGTTATTATTTATATTCATGGAGCTGGAAATATACAATTTTCATCTTCTTTTAAGATTGTGTGAATTTAATAGAAATGTTAATAGTCCATGTTACATGCTCTTTCATTGCAAAAATTTTCTAACACAAAATTTTTTAAAACAAATATGAAGAGAAGAGTAAGTTGTATGGACATAATTTATTATAACAATCACTACCAGTCTTTTCCTATTGCCCTCTATATTAAGGACTCGATGAAGCATTATTTTTGAAATGTATTCTCTTTCCTCTGCTCATCTAAAGTATGGTTTATGTTGTGTTATGTTAAAAGGGATATATATCAAAGTCTTACTAGGCCCAATAACACATTTTAAGTATTTTTATTGAGATAACTAAGTTGACTATATTCAGCATATTGTTTCAATTGCAGGAATATATAAAATAACATATGTTCAGTTTTCTTTTTAGCATTACCAGATGTGGAGTATGTAAGCATTCATTAATACAACTTATAAAAAAATTGTATTCAATTTCATGATTGTTATATCTTCATCATAGATATTTGTGCCCCAAATGCTACTTTCTCCTTTAATGAAGACCATTATATATACTACACTTCCTTGTATAGCTCTTTGTAGTTTCTTACATTTAGAGGCTTTGAGAATAAAACTAGCTAAAAAAAAATTTTCACAATTATTTCAGAAATGTTTGGAAAATGAAGAGACAGGATATACAAATATTTATTTTGGCAACATCTGAAAACAGGAGTCCCCCACACTATATAAAGACTTGTGCAAAGTTCAACATGAATTTAGAGAACTATAATAGATTTAGAATCTCTATCATACCTCTGAACCCAATTTTAAGATAGTCTTATGCTTGAATATGTTTAAATGTGAGTTAGAATATGCACAGATAAAATGGCTTCTCTGGGGTAAAAGCTATAAATTGTTTTTTAACTTAGCAATTTTATATTACTAAGGTCTCGTTAACACATTACCTACTTTTATCTTAAATTATTGGATTGGATTCAAAAAGATATGAGTGAGCAATTAGCTTATTTAGCAGTGTTATATAAACTATTACATCAGCACTTATGGAAAACTTTGCCCGTAATGTATATGGAGTTATATCACTGTGAATATAGCAACTGTTATCTGTATGGACTGCATTTTGTACTTCAAGTAAGCGCAAATGCATTTTTTTTCTTGAAAAATGATACTTTCCCCTTTAATATTTCAGCCATTGTAACTTTAACAACCTAGTGCAGGGGTGTCAAACTGGCAGCCCGTGGGCTGGATGCGTCATGCCCAGGCCATGCCCATCCCGACTCCACAAAGGCAAAAAATGTTGATACATCATGTGATGTCACATGACGTGATCGTGTTTGACACCTGTGACTTAGTGGAAGATTTAATATTTAGGGGAGAAAAGGTTATTTCTGAAAGATCAGAGAAAATAGAGTAAATCATCCTATTAGTGGGCTTCTATAAATACTTACAATTTTTGTTTTTATTTTAAAAACACATCTTATACAACAATGCTATAAGAGGACTCCTCCCCAAGATGGCTGCTGAAGGGTAAGGGACTTTTTTTCTCTTAGGATCTGCTGTGTTTGCTGCCAGAGCTGGTTCTTTGGCAGTTTTGCCCCCTGGATTTGAATGGGGACACATAAGAATGACTCAAGACAACTTTTGGATGGCTGCGTACACAGCCAGGAGGGGAATCTTGAATGTTGCAGCTCCTTGTGGGAGTAGCCAGAAAGTCAGTGGTCTTTATATTTCTTCCTACTGGCAGAATGTTGTCGTAAGCACGCCTGGGACTTTTAACTTCATTTTTTGAATCTGCTTTTGTTTTTTTAAATGCTGAATGCTGATTCATTTCAAGCCCCTGCTGGATTCTGTTTTTCCTGCTCTCCCTCTTTATTTGGCTGTTCTTAATCAACTTCTGCTTTTCTTTATGGAAACATACCATGTGCCTTTGAATGGTAAAAGTGTTTATATTTGAATTATATATTATTGACTATTCCATGCAGGTAATCTGCATTTTATTAACCTGCAAAAAGCCTTTGGATAAAAATAGTCATAAAATATCCTCTGTTCTTTTGTTCATTCCCTGCTTTACTTATCTACTTCATTGAACAACAACATACCAGATTACAGAGAAAAGGAGGAGGCTGAGGAAGAGTGAGAGAATGCCTAGCAACATGCAGTCATTAGCTGATTTTTTTCTGAAATATTTGATGAACTCATAAAGACTGTAGAAAATGTTCTGAAGAAACCGACTCTATAAATACTTTAAACCCCAAAAGGAATAAATATGGACTCAGAAACAACACAGACTAAAAAATATTCAGAAAACAAGGACTTAGAAATTACAGAATTGATTTTATATACCATTTGGAAGCTCAACCCTGTTCTTTTATATAATTTTAAGCAGAGAATTCTCTGGGTGGATAATTGGCAAATGGGTCTTTTTTAAGGGCTGTGAAGGAGAGTTGGAAATGGATTTATTAATTTTAATTGAGGAATGATCTTAACTGGGTTTTTTGGGGAAGAAATAAATTGGCTTTGGACATTGGCCCTTCTGTGTTCAATCAATCAGCAATTAATAAGAAATGTTATTAAACAAACGTGGATTTTGATCCAGGACCAATTAGGGTTAATTTTTTGGGATGATTTGGGACTCAAGCCATGGTAAATTTTCTACAAATTGATTACAATAACAGTTTGTTAACAGGGTTTTGGAATTTCAAATTTGTCTTTTATTACTATTAATAATTCTTATTACATTTATACTTTTATATAATATGTTATTATTTTTCCTGTTAACTTTTGTTATTAATATATATATGATAGGTTAACAATTTGAAAACAATTTTAATGGTTTAAAATTATTTTTGCCTATTTTGCAAGGGTTGGGAAATTAACACTGTTATATTCTGAAATAATGAAAACATTTGTAGCTCGGGTTTTAGATTTGGGCAGTGGTTTGCTCTCCAAGCTTGTTTCAATTTAGTTTCCGAACATTTCATTACCAGACTAGGTAACATCATCAGCAGGACTGTCTTGTCCTATTCTTCTTAGCTTATAAATATCTTGTGTGCCAGTATGGTCAGTTGGTCATTTGGTTGTTTGTTTGTTTGTTTGGAGCTATAGTTAAATTCTGAGCAGCTGATTGGTTATTTTGTTGATTGATTGTTTGAAAGGTCTGTCTTATATATTCATATGCTGGATCTAGGTCAATATGTTTGTTAATTGCTCCTTTTGTAGAATACCAGACCTCAACAAATTCACATGCATGGCGGATGCTAGCATGTTGTATTCTATCAATCAACATTCAACTAGGAAAGATATGTGTATATGTGTCAGTCTTTTTTTCTTTTATTTTAAGACAATTTTTAATGTCTTGTGATTTTTATTTTGTTTTTTTTCTTTTAAATATTTTGTCGTTTTGTATTTTAACTTTTTGAATAAACTAAACATTATAAAAACAATGCTATAGGAAAATAAATTGCCAGTTTAATTAATTTCTTGGTTTTGGGAACTCTTTTTGACCAGTTTTCTTACTGTTTACCATCAGACCTTCATTGTTATTTCAGACATGGAAATTATGCACTCTTCTATAAAATATAAATTGGATTACTGAATTTGACTTAAATTCAAATTAAGTGTTCATTATAAGAGAGCTGAGATAAAAAAGAGCATTTGTATTTAATCACAAATTAGTTTAAATATTCTATATAGAAGCAGTGAAACTCTATATTAGGATAATTAATCTTTTAAAGAAATTGAACTAGTTTCATTAGATGGGGAGTTTGTTCATTTAACAATCTGATTTAAAATATCTAGCAATAACAATTTATAGCTTGAAAGTTTAGAATAATTGTTTATTTATACTTTAATTTTAAAATTCATTTATTCATTATTAATGTTTTCTCTGTTGTAGTACGAAAACGCATGCAGGATGGGTGATATAACAGTGGTATAAAGTTGAAGAAACATCATATTTCATGAATTTTACATTATGAAGGAAATGAAGTACTCTGTTTTATCATTCTGCTTTAATGTCTGCAGACAATGGTAGAGTAAATCTACTATAGGTAATATTTGCCTGTCAAATATTTTAAAATATACTGCTTGAAATTTTTATAAGAGACCCAGACACGAAAAATGTGAACATATCAAAAGAGAAATGAAATTAATTGAAGATCATGCAATTACCTACTTGAATGGAGCAATTTAGGCCATCAAACCTTCTGCTTAGTGCACTAATCCATATTAAAGCACCCTGACAGATGGCTGCCTGCTTTCTTGGGACACAACCAATGAGTGGAAATGTATGATTGGTTTCATTGTTGAACTGTTCTTACAGTCAGCTGATTTAACATGTAAAGGAGATAATAAGTAATATAGTATCAAGTAATTAATTAATTAAGTAAAAGATGTATTTTCTAATGTACTTTAGAGCCAATCAGTATGATTTAACATACTGCCTTTCAGATTATATATTTATGCTTTTTTAAATTGTATGGATCTGATTTTTTAAAAAGGTATGTTTTATTTTTTATTATTTGAATACAATTAAAAAATAAACTAATATACAATAAAAAAATCATAAAACCATAAAGTAACAAAAAGATAAGACATAATTCATGACTATCTTTCTTATGCAAACCATTCAATAAATGGTTCTATTTCATTATAATCATCCATAGCTAATGATAAGTAATTTCTTGATAATATCTCTTTTGCAAATAGATGAGAACCTGGGGATCATATGTTTATGTTCCAAATTTTAACATAAATCTTAACTGAATTACTTTTTTAAAAAATCCCCCACTTAATAATAACATGTACCATGTAGCCTA